TCGGTTTACCCAGAAAAAAGTTATGAGGTAACACACATAAAAAAAACATACAGTCGAATTAAGTATCGTCTCCTTTTTGAAGTCTGTAGAAAAACGAATATCAGTTGTATTGAGAACCGCCTTCTTTTTTAAATTAAATTAATTACACAAAATTATTATGCAAACTAAAATAGCTAATTATACAAACAAATACCTAAGTACCACAATAATTATGTTCTCTCTCATATATAGACAAAAGGTCATATATTGGCAGATACATCGAACAAAACTCTAAAAATATTCTATGAGAAGTTGGCAGTCTTTATAATGATGATAGCAAGCAGTTTAGTAACTTTTTTTATAGGATAAGGGTGACGAACGAGCACACAGTCCACCTGATGGTAAGTGGTTGCTGCGGCCCATAGACATCTACATCTAACCTCTAATACAAATCAAAATGCAAATGCGTTGTCACCCGTGAGGACTAAGAAGAAATGCCTCGTTTCCAGTAAAAAGGGTCTCCGGTTCTCTACACTCACCATACGAAACACAGCAGCCTTAAGCTGGTATTCTGTGAGAGTGAGAGCCTACCTCAGTCGAGCCGACCCATTCGTGCCACGACTAATTTAGCTGTAATGTAGCTCTACCACGTATAAAATAGTAATAGTAAATAATCTGGGTAGGTATCATCCATTTCTGTCGCCAAATAGCAATGCTTGCACCACGGTGTTCTAGTCTAAATGGTATTGTATTTATATGGACTCTCTGTCAGTCTAATTACAGGCTGTGAGGCATTCCAACTCACCTCAGAAGTGTACAACGTGTTTTTACAATGTGTACACATTATATAACATAACATGTTATAAAACGTTGTCATATATCATGTTTCAGTAATGTGGAGGCTGAATGTTATGAAACGTGTTATATAACTCGAACGGCAGAACGACAAACGACAATGTCATATAACATTGTTATACTGCATTGTTATTCTAATGTGTACAGTATTGTTATATGTTGCAATGTTGAAAAACAATGTTACATAATATGGACGTGTTATAAAACAAAAGTTATACAACATGTTACTTGATCTGTACGCACCCTTAGTCTTCTTTGTTTCAAGTTGACAGCAGGTGTCTATATAAGTGTAGTAACTGCAGTTAATTTGTCACTTCAATTTTATGATTTTTTTTACGCTTAGCAAAATATTTATTAGGTATAATATAATCAAGCAACAAAAACAATAACATATCCATGTTATTATAACTAGATATACCAAATCTAGCACACTCAATGGCTGCTGTATGCTAATCTTCCATAATACTATATGTACGTAGACAATAAATATCATTATATTTGAAGATATTGTGATTTTGTGGGGTACTTGAATAATATTTTAATGTTATTGTTTAATTTAGGAGATTGTGTTTAATTAATTTAAATATGTAAGTGCCTATCAGACATTTTGAGGGCTTACAAACATCCATAGTTGCAGGCGGACTAATGTGTTTAACGTCCTAATTGAAATTAAAACCGATAAAGTTATAAGTAACGAAATCAAGTTATAAAACAGCCTATATACATCCCACTGCTGGGCACAGGCCTCCACTCATTTCTGAGAATAAAAAAATAATAATTCCCCAGCATAGCCCTCTTTGAAAATGTCTTCCAATGCAGCGGTGAAGAGTTTCGGGGATATAGCGCCACCCTGTCTTACACCTCTCTGCAGTTAGATAGGTTTCGTACTCTGATTCTTTATTCGGATAGCCATCGTAGCTCTACTGTACAAACACTTCAGCACTTCGATATACCGACAGTTAACTTGGCATCGCTGAAGGGACTGCAGCACCGCCCAAATTTCGACGGAATCAAAGGCTTTCTCATAGTCCACATACGCAAGGCAAAATGGCAGATTATACTCCTCTGTCTTCTGTACAATTTGCCGAAGGATGTGTATGTGGTCTAGGGTACCTACTAAAGCCTTTTTGGAAACCGGCTTGTTCAGGAGGCTGGAAGTCGTCAAGACTGCGTGCGAGACGATTCGTAATGACTCTCGAAAACAGCACTAGACGCGGCTCAAAAGGGAAATCGGTATGTAGTTCTTCAAGAGAGCGTTGTCGCCTTTCTTGAAGAATAAGACCACCGCACTTCTGCTTCATGCCTCCGGAGTAGTGCCACCATGGAGGACGGAATTAAAGAGCTTCTGAAGGATTTCAAGTACCGGTTTTCCACCCACTTTCAAAAGCTCCGCTGTAATTCCATCGTCGCCTGGGGCCCTGCCGTTTTTAAGGTGCTGGAGAGCCATTCTAATCTCGCTCAGACGACTGACGTCCGCGATATCTTCGGAATAGTTTTTGTAAATGTTAGTAGATAAATTTAAAAATTTAATAATCAGGCACAGTATCAAAGGAATTACAAGTTTTCCGACGTAAGGGGTGAACACGTCGCCAACTTCTTGAATCCGTGCCGCTACTGAGATTTTTATCACTAAAAAACCCAATAACTGATTTGTAACCGACCCAAAATTCGAAATTTGAACTCACATAATCAGACCATATCCACTACACCAATTAGGGAATCGAAAGTATACATGTTATAATGTATAAAAGAAATAAGTACACACTCAAGAAAAATATTAAATTTGTAATTGGGTCTCAAGCAAAAAATTGCCTCTGCCTGTGTAATAAAGGTACAAGGTAATAAATAATACTCGTTCCATAGAGACTTAAATAGACAGGTATAACCTTTTATATTTAGTCCTTAAGAGTCCATTTCTGACTCAAGGACAGCGTACACTATTATTTCGTGCAAGTAGCAAAGCATCGAGTTATTAAGACGTTTATTTCTTACAAGCATCCCGCCCCGGCTTTGCCAGGGTATAATTTATTTTTCAGATAAAATACAGCCTAGATCACTAATAGCATTGCTCTCTATCTGTTTGTCTAGTTTCATTACAATCGGGTAAGTCTTTCCGAAGCATAGTCTAGACAGACAGACAAAAAAAATTAAAAAAGTTATTCATATTTTAGTGGTATGCAAATAACTCCCTCAGTTCAATAAAGGGTAGTTATTTTAGTATTACACACACAAACATAAATTTTATATATCGAAGATTTAAGGTAAAATAATAATATACCTAATATAATTTCCTAAATCGATACCATTCTAAATAAATATTAATAAGTTCAACAATCATTTATCTTTCTGACAATGTGCTTTTTATATCACTTATAAGTACAATATGATTGCTAGATACGATTTCATGCGACAAAACGTTGGAATCTTAGATTAATGATAAGTCATCGCGGTCAAAGCGCGCGATGACTTATCATCAATCTATGCGTTGGAATCTTAATTTTTAGGGCCTAGTAGAACATACCGACGCGCTTAGGCGCTTACGAAATGCTATAAATAAACTTTTTTTTCAATAGATTAAGGGTGACTAACGAGCACTTTATGTTATGTGGTTGCTGTGGCCTATGGACATCTACATTTATCCTCAATTAAGAATCAAAATGCAAATGCGTTGTCACTCCTGAGGACTAAGATAGAATGTCTCGTTTCCATTAAAAAGGATCTCCGGTTCTCTACACTCATCAAACCAAACACAGCAGCATTAAGCTGCTATTTTACGCTGGTATTCTGTGAGAGCGTGGTCCCACCCCGATCGAACTGGCCCATTCCTGCTACAAGCACAATATAGCCACTCTACCACGTACATAGCCTATCTAGATAACATAATTGAATTAAGAATACAATGGTATTCTATATCTCTTACCGCACATTTTGGATCTACATTTGTTTAATAAGAAGTTAAAAACACACACAACCCAAAATTAGCAATAAATCCCTTTAAAAACTCTAAAACATCTAAATTAATCCTTCGATACATAGTGTCTTAGGATGTGGAAATTATTATTCTTTTAAATTTTGAAATCAGTTTTACTTTTTTTAGTGTTTTTACCGTTACGGCCTGTTAAAGTCCACTGTTGAACATAGGCCACCCCCATAGATTGCCTCACAGGGATATTTGCTATAGTTGCCACACTTGACAAGCAGGGTTGGCAGCCGCAGTTTTTATTTTTTATTTTTAGTCGTTATTGTGTCGCGTCTTACGATACCCACGGGACCATATGAGGTAGTGGGTATTCTTACACCGCCACTACACGGTTAATAAAGTGTTATTATCTTAACCTTTTAAGTGATTTAAGGAATATTACAAGGTCAAGATAAACAAATAGAATGTCGTTTAAATAGTTACATTAAAATCTTCATCCTCTTTTTTCACCCTTAGGGATGGCATGGCTTTTATCTATAAATACCTATTTAATAAAACAATATTTAAGTTCAGCCTTTTAAAGCGAAATCGATAAACATACATAAAAAAAACATTCACGTGAAATAAGTACCTATAGAATCTTCTCTGTTTTTTGGAACTCGGTTAAAAATTGAAATGAAACGACGTTTTCGAATTAGTGCTATTTTAGATGCTTGTTTTAAATTTCACCTGTGTTGAAATCCTGTGTTTTTCAATTATTTAGCATATATCTTTAAAAGGCATAAAAATTATAAAAGTTGATTTGAATTCTATAAAATGAATCTTAGGCCCGCCACATATATACGGAATTCCGTTTCGGGATTCCGTTTCGATATTCCGATTCGAGATTTCGAACGCAGCAAGTTCATATAAAATCTATGACCCGTCACTCACGTACGGTAGTTATCCGTTCGAAATTTTGCGGGCAAAACGGGATTCCGTATGTGTGTGGCTGACCAATTCGGAATTCCGAAACGGACTCCCGAAACGGAATTCCGTATGTATGTAGCGGGCCTTAACATGTTTGTGATTGTGGAGAGGATTTTTTTTGTACGGTCTTTACAAACCGCACATTTCTGAAATTTCAAATTACAAATTACATAGTCAGTTCAAGCCTTTATCATTTCTATCAAGTTCTAAGATTGTAGAGCTAGATAGCAGCTCGTACAGTTTTGTTGATTTTTTTATTTTTATTTTCAGATACAAAATGTTGCAGAAAGTGATTCTGGTAACTTGCCTGCTGTGTGTATCCGCACAGGCGTTGGCTAGCAGCGATGACAAATTCATCAAAAAGTATGCCATGATGAAGGTAAGGATTATTAAAATATTAACTATTTGTTTTATATTCTATTTCCGCGACTTTATTTACTTTGTTGGTAAATAAAGTCGCGGAAATAAATATTTAATTGTAAAAATTAAATTATAAATTTTATTTTATGGTGAGTGTAGAGAACCGGAGACCCTTTTTACTGGAAAAGAGGCATTCCATGTTAGTCCTCACGGGTGACAACGCATCTGCATTTTGATTCGCAAACGAGGATAAATGTAGATGTCTATGGGCCACAGCAACCACTTACCATCAGGTGGACTGTGTGCTCATTTGTCACCCTATCCTATAAAAAAAAATTAAGGACATAGACGTATACCTAATCCTTGTCTTAAATTAGTCAAGTCAAATAAAAGAAATATTTATTTCTACATGTTGTGGCGATGCAAAAGAATCTATACCATTTGGTTCAAAGTTTGGATAGATTTTTAATTCCAAAGGGTGAGGCGAGGTCGTGAGAAATACCAGAAAAATCTCATGGTATCCGATAGATGGCGGTTGAAACTATCTTGTTTACGCCAGAAGTACGGAGATGGCTTGCCGACGACACCACCCTGTGACTTTATGGCTCAGTATCAAATCCATAGGCTATCAAATAAGTACCGCTAGGTATCTTCTCTACTACTACTATCTTCTCTACTACTACTACTACTTCTCTACTACTACGACCATCGTGACGTCATGACGCTATCGACAAACCTTCTGCGCGTGGGTTATAAATATCCAGATCGGTGAGAACACAGACCACAGAGTAGACATGTGTCATACATTAATTTCTAGTGACCCGATCATTTAAGTATCGATGCGTTTTACGAACCGGGTCATTCGGGTCGACCATTCAAATAGACCATTTCGAGTTTTAGTACTCTGTGATCTGTTAGATCCGCTCGATAATGTCGCTCTTCGGACATTATTACTCTTTGGTCGTCTGATCTCTATCGTTTGATCCGGAAGTTTGTAAATGTAATTGCAATCATCAACACTTTGATGCGAGCCAGGTCACAATCATTCACGATTGATACATGTCTACAGGGCCCCCGAGACGTAGATTTTGGTTTGAGTCAAACCAATTTGATCGTTTCGCCGTTGGTTTGACAGGTTTGATCAAATGTAACGTGGTAGAAGCTCGTTTGATGGAAATTTATATTTTGGTTTTATTTGAAGCACCCTTTGATTGATCGTCTTCGCGATGTGTTTGATCAAACCTCATCAGTCTTGTGCTGAATTTCGAAGCGATACGTTCTGTGTATGTACCTCAATCAGGGGCGTAGCTACCGCCGTATCAGCCGTATCAATGATACGGGACCCCCGGGCTACAGAGGCCCCGAACGTGTGTAAGCGAAAATTCTAAGGACTTCTATGAGACAGGATGTTGGTTTGAATTGTTTGGGTAGCTTAGTTCCTAGGAGTGTTAATTTTAAGTAATAACTTATAATCAATATATCTAATTATTTTAATTCAATGCGAGAATTTTTGTTCCTTTTGTGAAAAATCTTTACCCTTCATTTGGGCCCCACGACAAATTTTGATACAGATAAGGCACGCTACTCCACTGACCTCAATGTCAATGTTATAGATAATCTGGAATAGCTTGCTTCATGTTAGTAGGTATCCTGTTTTTGAATTAATGGTCGAACTTTATTCAATTATTATTTATAAGAATCATTGTCCATCCTCATAAAGTTCTTATAATCATCTGGTGCGTTAGTTTCTAGCACTCTTTGTAGGTGTTCGTGTGTGAAACGATACCTTAATTTGTACCATTCTCTGCACCAAATTCTTTTTCTTTTTTTTCTTATTATTTAAGCAAAACATTAATACAATAAAAGCGAGAAAATCTTTATCCGTAGTCGACGGCATTTTTTGAAACCGCAATAGGACTTCCTTGTTTGAAATTTGAAGCCACACTGCGCGCTTCTGTTTGATGCGAATTCAAAGCGACATCAAACGCTTTGGTCAAACACGTGAGGTTTGAATCAAATTTCACCGTCTCGGAGGCCCTTACCACACAGAGGGGAATTATCGTCAAAGGTGTGGAACCTGCAATGCGATCCGCTTGTCAAGCGTGACGTTTGAAACGAATCCTTCGTACAGAATGTCACGTCCAATATAGTGAACTTTTACGTCCTGTTGAAAAATATTATTATGTATTTGTTTGTATTCATATGCATTTGTGTAATTTATAAGCTTTATTTTAATATGTTATATCTATATAAATTTATTATATTTAGTTACTTAAATATCCTGCCACTAATTTCTCACCACGCCTTGGGTTGACGGGGAGAGAATGCTAACTGGCATTAAGTCCGCCCTTTGTAACCTTTTTATTGGTTAGAACAATAAAGTTTTAAATAAAATAAATAAAAAAAAGAAGAATAAAAATGAATTTCTTTGAAAAAAATCTAACGCAGCCTCTTGTTTAATGTGATGCAACCTAACAGAAGCCGTCCCGATAGATTGCTACATAACACAGTTCTGAATTACATGGGTCGATCAATAGTCTGCATGATGTAATCTAGTAGTGTATGTAGTCTAAAATATATATTAAAACCTCAAAAGGAAATAATGATAAACTGGTTGATTATGTTCCAATTATTAACCTTCAAAATAAGTAATTTAAAATGGTTAGTCTCTATTTTTTTTTTATTAAACGTTACCCCCACACTAGGATTTTCTCCTGTATCGTGGAGGCAGTTTACAAACACAAATTTCAAAAGGACAAACATCCAGACCCGGAACAATTATTTGTAGGCCATACAAATACTTGTTCAGTGCGGGTTTCGAACCCGCGCCCCCCAGCGCAGCAACTCATTGCTAAGCCACTGCGCCACGGAGCCGTCAAATCTATATAGTATCGTTCTCAATCTATAGCCTCTCCAAATGCTCTAAAGCAAACATCCGATTCACAAAAATAGAGCCCTGCCATTAAAATTACATTAGGTACCTACATGTCTTGATTTAACTGATCAATTTAAATAAAATCGTCCAAAAATAAATCGATAACACAAAATAATATAATTTATTTATTTAATTTAGTTAAAATAATACTAGTAGAAACTGCAATAGAAACTTTATAATAATATTCTTAGTAATAAACATATTATATTCTTTAGAAATATCAATTATAAATAAATAGCAAAAAACTACTTTATCTGCCGCAGTCGGTAGGATTCGAACCTACGCTCCCAGAGGGAATCTGATTTCTAGTCAGACGCCTTAACCGCTCGGCCACGACTGCTTGCTAAACGTTGGCAAAATATTGTATTTTGTTATTGTACACAAATTACTTTTTAAACAAAATACATTAAAGTTATGAAATGATTCAGTATCCCTAGAACCTAGAAACCTACCATTTGCCATTTTCGATTTTTAAGTTTTATCAGTACAATAGAAGTACCCACCACATGAGTAAAGAAATCGACTTACTCTGTGGGTACCCACTGTCTATCTTTCAATTGAAATATTATTTATGTATTTTATTCTTTATTGCACCCAATGACCAGTAGGTCAATGATTGCACCAAAGATATTACACAAAAGGCGAGCTCAACGCTATAATATGGCATTCTCTACCACCTAACCTTGTAGGTAGAACAGAGAGTGAGTTATGGGCAGTTAGGAAGTTAGGATGTCATAACCAACTCCAATAATTTATATTTATATATGTCATGCAAGCATGCAACATGTGCCTAAAATATACACATATATATTAAATAAATGTAAGAGACACACATATAAAAATAAATACCCTAAATATCTCAATAAATGTATATATAAAAAATAAGGGGCATTTTTTAAAATTCATTAAAATATGAAGTCATTATTTTTTTATTTTCAGATTTATGAAAGCTGTTTTGGCCCTGAAGTTGTGAAACAAATAAGAGAAGAGATGAAAGAAGCCTACGCTAAGTGCTCACTACCGCCATCTTTTGAAGAACCTTCGAACCCGGTTCAAATGCCGCAAGTGTTGCTCGGGAAGCTGCCACCCGGTTTCGCCATGGACCCGAACACGCAAACTATTACTAAGCCAACAGATGGCGCTGTTCATGGCCAAGAAAATGATTTGTCTAATTTGGAATCTAAACCACAAAAACCATCATCGATGGGAGGTGTTCTGTCTTATAGGCCCCTAGCGGTGAATGCTTATTTTATATTTTATAAAAAATAACGATATCTTAGGTATGTTTAAAAATACTTTAATGCCTCCTGTGAGGATTGAACTCACGACCCCTGGTTTACGAGACCAGTGCTCTACCACTGAGCTAAAGAGGCTATGGTAAGTTAGTTAAAATAAATATTCAGGTCAAAAGCCAAAAAAAAATACTTTAAATTTAAATTTAATGATTTTAATGATACAATGCCTAAAATTAATCCCAAATCTTTTAAGATATACCATAATAATAAAAGACGTAGAGTTGATACAAACTTTGTATTTCGAAACTGAACACAAAATTATTTACTTACTTACTAATTATTAGTAGGTCACTTTTGTGTCACCGTACAGTAGCGGTTAATATTTACTACCTCATATCGTCCCGTGGATTTCGTAAGAGGCGGCAAAGGAAAACACACCAACACCAGGAGTACGGCAGCAGCGTCTTCCTTTTGCGGTTGTCAGCCCACCTGCCAAGTTTAGCAACTATGGTAAATATCCGCTTATTAGGTAATCTATAAGGAAGGCGGATGTTTAGCGGTGAATAGGTGGAGTGTCAGGCTGTAATCTGTAGTTACCACTAGTTTTTTGTGACCATTATTAAGCAAGGAATACCTCGATTGGACTTTGGATACAGAAAGAATAAGTGAGGAAGAGTGACAAAACAAAATCGTGACAAGTGAGCAGAGTCGACAAGGGACGCTCTAAAGTTCTTCGAATAAATTGGTGATAATTCGAAGATAGGTCAAGTTTAGTGTAAACCGACGTAACAACCTTACCACCATCATCAGACTTACCTATTTGATTGAATAAGAAATCTGCATTTTGATTCTCTATTGAGGATAGAAGAAGATGTCTGTGGGTAACAGCAACCACTTACCATCAGGTGGACTGTGAGCTCGTTTGTCATCCTATCCTATAAAAAATGTATCATAATTAATGCGTAAATCAGACAATAAGTTGCAGACAAAATGTTTCTTAAGTTACTGAAGATTCCGCACAGATTAAGAAATTAAAATAATAACACATTCATCAATGGCCTTTCCGTCTTTTTATTGCAAACGTTTTTACGTGGTAGAGCCATGCTGCAGCCATATTACGGTTGTAGCACAAATGGGTCAACTCGACCGGGAAAAGACAACGCCCTCACAGAATATTAGCGTAAAATTGCAGCTCAATACTGCTGTATTTCGTATGATGAGTGTACAGAACCGGATACCTGTTTTCTAGGATACATCTTAGTCCTCATGGGTGACAACGCATCTGCATTTTGATTCTTAATCGAGGATAGATGTAGATGTAGGTGTATGGGCCAAAGTATTCACTTACCATCAGGTGGACTGTGTGCTCGTTTGTCACCCTTATTCTATAAAAAAAAACGAATAAGACAGTGCGCCGGTGACACTTCTTTCATACATTCTATCCGTTTATTACAGCCCACAAGAGTTCACTGCTGAAAATAAGCCTTCCCATAGAGGGGATTTTGCCATAGACACCATGCTTGGCAAGTGGGTTGGCAACTGTAACGTTAAAGTAAAAGTTGACTTAAAAGGCCGTTGGGATTTAATCATTTAAACATTTCTAATTAAATTCGGTATGTAAGACGTCTCACTGATAGGTTGAGGCCTCCTCCCATTCTTGAGAAGGTCTTAGAGTGACAAAGAGTCCACCATGCTGGCCTAATACAGACTTCATGTCCTCGACTATCTTTGAATATACATATAAACATCAATTGCTGTCAACGGAACGTTAGTCTCTCTAAACCTCGAAACTGACTCGACAGATAGAGAAAAAGTTTTTTCTTAATTGGCATTGAGTTATACGTACTACGTAGAGAAGCTATTCCAAACAAAAATTGTGCGCTATACTCATGTATTCCCGCATGCGCGGGAGATAGTAGAGTTGCGTATGGGCGAACACTTTAATTTAACATAAAATAAGATATTAATATAAAATATATATAAGAATTTAGTATAAAATACTCTTATTTTAATCTAAACAAACATATTTCTAAATAAACTGTAATAATAATTATCTTATGGAATTCACAAATCTTCAATTTATGCAATATTTAGTTTAGTGTACGGATTGCAGTACAGTTACATAGTATATGTTCGAAATGCGAAATCTAGTGCGTAGTACCTACGTATATATATATCGATGTCAATTGGGCCCTGTAGGTGGCGCTGTTGTCGAGAACCAGAAATCAACTGTGCGAAACCGGGGCGAATCGCTAGTTATTTTATAAAACAGAATCACAATGTTGTCCTTCACCACCGGGCAAATGGTAAATAAACTTATAATGTTGTAATTAAAAATTTCGGCAGTGCTGGCAGGGATCGAACTCGTTTGCTCCCCTACAATGAACTTTAACGTAAACGTGGGGATAAAAGTCATTACGGCTCTATAATACACAAACTACATACTATATTAGAAAAACGATCCTAAAACTTAAATTAAATCTAGTAGAACTGAAAATCAGTTTGTAACTTGATAATTTGTCAAGTATGCGAAAAATTAGGCATAAGTATAAAAATTACAATATCTCTCGTATCATACAAATTAATGAATAATGTGTATAATATTCTTGTCAATTTTATATTACAGCCGAGTTTCCAACAGCCTTCCATCCCGCCGTACATGATGCCGAATCCTCAGTTCCGCCCCTACAGTCCAGCCGCGTCGTTCTTCCAGACGCCTTACAGCGCTCCCGGGATATTCTACCCGCCCGGTTTCCAATACAATCCTTACGCGTACCCGCAGCAGTTTCAGCAAGCGTTTTACCAGCAACCATTCTTCGGCACCGGCAGAATTTCGGTAAGACAAAGGCGTTTTCTTTTAAATATTAGAGTAATAAACGAGCTTACAACCCACTAGTCAGTGGCTAATGCAGCCCATAGAGACCTGCAACCAAACTTGCTAAGATAGAATGGAGTCGCTCAGCCTAAAATGGGTAAGAAGATGTTACCAACCCAGACTGGCTCCTAGCATTAGAAGGAACTATTTGTGAAGCTATTACAACTTAAAAAATATTAAGTTAATATATGGCAAATATTAACTTTTCAAGGTATAGAATAAATTGTATAGAATTAAAGTAATTGAGTTCAATGTCCGTGCCTGGACATAGGCCTCTCTCAGACTTGAGAGGCTTTCACAAAATCGCATGACAGACGGTCGCACTTGACACCCGTCGCTAATCTCAGTCTCATTCATACGAGAAGGCTATTTTCCTACCCACTGAAGTCATACGATAGATCCTCTTGACGTTTTCTATCGACTTTTACGATACCACGGAAGTAAATTTAAATTTAGATACAGAAACAATTTGCATTAACAAAGTTAAAGCATTACTTACCATCTTACCTCAAGTGAACTATGTGCTCGTTTGTTACCCTTACTCTATAAAATAAAAGACACTTAGATAGAGCAACATAGTTGAGCACCATTATAACTATTAAAACCACTAGATTGGATCGAGACAAATGAAGTCTTTTGAGCCCCAGCGCGATATGGACCTGCGGGACCGCTTGGAGCTGATCTCGCGCGGGCCTAGCGCCGGTCGCCTGCGCAACGTCACCTGCGTGATGCAAGAGCTCGGCTACATCGACCACACGCTCGAGCCAAACTACGATCAAATCAAGCAGCGGATCAACAACCTCCCCGTTTCCAGTGCACTGAAGAGCGACATACAGGACGGCCTCCAGTTCTGTCAGAAGTTTTCGGTACCTAGTATTTTTAAATTATGAATAATGGATGAATGAATGAATGATATATTTTTAATGTTTTACTAGATCACGGCAAAGGCAGGGCCGGATTAACCATTAGGCAGAGTAGGCAACTGCCTAGGGGCCCCGCATCGGCTAGGGGCCCCGCGCGCGCACGAAAGTAATGGAAAATGTATCATACAGTGAAAATTCAATTGGAAAATTTGTATCCTCAATAACAATAGGTATTACTGGGTTTTAGCGACGCATTAAGTCAGTTGATGAAATACTTCATACTTTCAGAACAGAATCATCTAGTATCGATAAGTGAAACTAATAATATGGATGCTTAAATTAAAAAGTTTTGCTCTCCTCTGTGTGCAAAGGAGCCCCGAGAATTGCATTGCATAAGGGCCCCGACATGGTTAATCCGGCCCTGGGCAAAGGGTTCTCATTTTAGCAGGTTTTGCATGTATATGTATGTTCATATGTTCCTTCAGATCTAAACTACTTGCAGTATTTTGACAAATGATTGTATTGATTACAAGCTATGTTTGTAATTACTTAAGATTAGAAGCGTCTCTTCCGCAAGCTGTAGTACATATGATGATCACGTAAAATTCAACATGGCGGACTATTGCAGTTCAAAAAATAATGATGATTTACATACCGTCTTCAATAATTAATCGAAAGGTCTTAACGAGTACATGCTGAATATATAATATAGCTGCAGCGTGACTTTATCACGTTAAATAATAAAACCAAGTTTTTTGTCGTAGTTGGGTTTTAGTTTTTAACTTTAATCTTGTCGTTCATTAAATCTTATCAAAATTCCACTGCTAAACATTGACTTCTTTCAAATAGGGGATATTTGCTATCGTTAGATACCATGCTAGGCTTCAATCAAGAAGTCTCTACTGCCTTATCTTTGACGGCTCCGTGGCGCAGTGTCTTAGCAATAAGAGAACTAAGAGCCGCGGGTTCGAATCTCGCACGGAACAAGTATTTGCATATCGTACAAATAATTGTTCCGGGTCTGGATGTTTGTCCTTGTGAAATTTATGTATGTAAACTGCCACCACGATACAGGAGAAAATCCTAATGTGGAGGTAACGTTTTTTATTTTTAAAAAATATCTCTTTGTTGAAATAAATTTTCACCTTTTCTAATCTTGTACATTTTTTTAAAGTAAACATATAATTATGTGTTTTGCAGCAATGTGTACCAGAAATAAAACGCGATGTGGCACCGCTTTCACAAGAACTGATCAAGCCCATGTTCTTCTTCCGCTGTTACAAGGTATTGAAATCCTATACTTTAAGTAAGCAATTCATGTATAGATACATGCGTATAGATAATACCTAAACAATTTTGATGAAATTTTGTTACGTTTAATCATCGAAAAAAAATTTTTTTTTTCTAACGCCGAGCAAAGCTCGTTCGCCCAAGTATTTTTTTTTGGAGTTTATGGCCTGGCATCTAGACCTTTAGGCCAGTTCGCCCAAGTATTTATATAATAGGTACAGCTAATAAAATATTTTAAAAATACAATTTTTTTTTAATTATATTATAAAATTTCTCTTGCAGCATAAAAAGTTGGAGGCTTGCATTATGAAAGACATCCGTGAGCGATTTACTTCAGAAGACGAGTTGGATACGGAGAGCGATTTTAGGTGAGATAATTATGTTTTTTTTTTTTATAATAACTATAATAAAGTTGATTTAATTAATTAATATTAAAAAATATACTTACTAAGATCCGTTTGCTAAAACAACTTTCAGCGCATAAAGTATCACTGGCAATCAATAAACTAAATTCTTTTTTATTCTATTAATTTCAATCAGAAAACAATTATATTTTATTTTTTAAATTGGAAGCTTATTTCATTCTAGATATCTTTCCAGGTCAGCCCGATCCATTCGTGACGACTCTCTGCCAGACCCAAGATTTGAAGCATTAGATGAAATGGCGGTTTACTTTTACGACTATTTAAGTGGCGGGAACGGAATGGATTACGACCTATATTTGTAGAGAATGCGTTCAAATATTTAGATACGGTTCATTGACTTTATCTCATTTTTAATCTGTTGAAATATACGTTTGAGTTCACGATTGTTTTGGGTAAAAATAACATAATATGAATTGGCTGCATATTTCTGGAAAAAATTACAAATTCGAATAAAATATCCAAAAAAACCTGATTCTTAAAACTATAGTTTTGAACGTATTTTGTAACGCCCACAAAATGTTTTGTTTTAAAACGTGAGTTATTGTTTATTTAGCTCTTGTGTTAACTAATGAGAGAGATCAAGTTCAAATGACATAATTATGAAATGAACAATTTTTTACCTTTAGTCAAATTTTAATCCAGTGTAAGCAATTGGGACTGAATAAAATTCAACGGATTTTAATGTGCTTTATTTAAGTAGATATAAGGTTTACTATCAGAGGGTAATAATTTTAGGATTTTCTTGCCATTTTATTGCATTTTTAGATGCATGAATTTTGATTTGTACATCAACATAGTCTATGATATGTAAACTTCATTTCGTTATGATGAGGTGTTAAAATTACGACTGACAATACTATTTAACATATTATTCAAACATTTTTGTAAGTTATTGAATGCCGTCCACATTAATGAAATGCGAAAAAGTAAAAAAATATATATTAAATAAAATGTTAATTTTATAAGTGACGATTTTTTATAATTTATAAGACAATAATAAACAAAATAGTTTGGTATATTGACTAGAACATTAAGAAATAAGTAGTACCTATTCAAAATAATTTTTGTAAATGCTCACTATCGTAGTTTTTCTCTGGTTGATGGTAAATTAGGGGGGTTTGCTGCTATTATAATGTGTATCTATTTACTTAAATTTAAAGCTTTAAGCTCAAACTATTGTAAACTATGGTAGGATCGGTAAAGTCAATTAAAACTACATAGGTAAATATAGATATTGATGATTAGGTCATTTTCATAAATTTCAGCATGAAATCTAATATTGCATATTATTTTTTGAATGATACGATAATATAATCAGCTGCAAACGACAGTTTTTGTCAATTAAGCTTGCAATTTGTAAAAGCTTTTTCGACGACAACTCAAATTTCTGAACTCCATTCAAATTAAGAACATTTTTTTTAAATACCTAAGTTAACGGTTTCACGCTCAACGAAGATAATAGTTTTAATTTAAATGGAGTATCTCAGTATAACTATGAGATTATTTTGTAAAAGTGCATTTACTAGTTTTTGGTTAAGTTTTACAATAAGTATCCTTAGAGATAATTATCAAATAAAATAAAGTTATTAAACTAAAAAGACCTTTATTTCAAAAATATAACAAAAAAGTTTCGTTACGATAATAGCGATAGGAGATAAAGTTCATCGAAGACCATTCCAGCCATGTTATTAAGTCCATAATTCGTTTATTTTTCGCCCCAAAACTCGATTCAAAAATTAATATTTTTATCGTTTTCTTTTAAATTCCTACGTTATAAATTATTTCATCACGATTGTTTTAAAGAATTAGGGTGTAATAATAAGAGAGCACACAGTCCACCTGATGGTAAGTGGATGCTGCGGCCCATAGACATCTATCTTTTCTTGATTAAGAATCAAAAAGCAGCAATTTACTCTACTTTTACATACACATATTTACCCAATTAATGGCTACCATCATTTTTTTTTAATTACACTATGTGCAATCTTATAGATTAGTTTGATCTTTGATATTTGTAAAGCTCTTCTATAATAATAATAGTGGGGTGGTCTGGCGACCGAAATTATTCCTGTAGTCGTCTCTGCAAACGGGTTAATCCCGGTCAGCCTTTCGGGTCATCTGAGGCGACTGGGACTCCGTGACGGACCGCTCCGGGCTCAAATGCAGAAGGCGGTGCTCCTTGATACTGTCCGCATCGTCCGCCGGATTCTTTCCCTTTCCCCCTAACCCTCGAAGACCAAACGTCTCCCCTGCCGAGGGCTTCCATCTGGTTGGAATTTTATTTATTTATTTATTTATGTATTATTTATTTATTTATGTTAGTATATTAAATAAATTCAAATTCAAATCGTTTATTGCGAATATAGGTTGATACAGTTGGTGTTTACATAGTTTATCACTTATAGAACAAACATTTAGTACAGCTATATATATTTAAATATAAATATATATTTATGTTTAATTATTATCTCCTTTAATATATTTATTCAGCCCAATCAATGCCCAAATCTCTGATTGCTAAACTAGGAATCATACCTACGTCTCAGTAATCAGTGCACTCTATTAAGCTATATAGGAATAAAAAAAAGGAGAAGCGAAAGTTTAATTTTTCAGTTTTCTCCAAAAATGTTTTCATTGCTTTACACTTACGACCATACAAGCTCAAGCGACCGACTTATATGAAAAATTTATTCAAACGCCCTGAATCCTAATTTTATAGACTGACTGTAGAGAGCACTTGTACAGCTATGTATTCATCAGTATGTCCACCCAAATAAGCAAAATATTCAATAAATGATTATAAGCTAGCTGGTATACTCTGGGATATGTCTATCATACTGGAAACGATGGGTGAGCCTTCTTTCAGCAGGGCGTTCCTATTAACAACCAGAAATAAAAAAAGTGGTTGACAATCCACCCGCTAGGCAACTGTGGCACATATCCCCCCATATGCAATCTATAGGGGATGCCTATGTTCAGCGATGGACTTTTAATAGACTGTAACGTTAACGGTGACGGATCAATTATTAAATCTGTACATAAGCCAGATTTGTATTTATATTTATTTACTAGCTGTTCCCCGCGAATTCGCCCGCGTGAAATTTAGGGTTTTATTATGTTGCGCAGAACCCTAATTTTTTTTTCTAAAATATAGGTAACCTAAGTTATTCCTTATAATATAAGCTATCTGCCAGTGAAAGTCCCGTCGAAATCGGTCCAGCCGTTTCGGAGATTCGCCGGTACAAACAAACAGACAAAAATTTTATAAATTGTGTTTTTGTTATAAGTATTTTTGTCTTTCATATGCATTAAATAAAAAACTGCTTTTTTGACATTACAAACAGACACTTCAATTTTATTTATTTATATAGATATATAGTAAGTAAGTATCAATGGTTATTGGATTATATTAACTTTTTATACAAGTAATGGTGAAAATGAACACAAAGTCTACTTTAGATGGATGCTGTAGCTAATAGACATACATTCCACAATAAATTCACTTGTGTTGCCATTTCTGGACGCTTATACATATGTAATTCTTTGTCGTCAGTATAAAGCATATCCGGTACTAATGAATGTAAATAAAATCAGGATATATAACTCAGAAAGAGGTAAATAGACAAGGAGAGCCTAATTGTGCTTCTCACTCTTTTCTTATGGCGACCATGTAACTTAGTGCACGGTAATGATTGTACGGATAACAAGTCCTAAATTGCAGTTTTAATTACAAATAAAATGTTTATTCATCATCATCACTATAGTCCATCAGAGTTCCGAATCCATAGACAGCCACAAAGCGCTGTCCTTACCCACCTTCATCCGCTGACTCTGCGTCCACGAACAGGCGGCTCACTCTAGAACTGAGGCTGTTTCGAGAACTTTTCTTGCCCGTCGGTTGTCAGTTCTTCGAGTTATATGAACAATTGCCGCTTCACACGACTGATCTGTCAAGCTAGGTTATTTTTTTACTTACAAATAAATTGTCTTAGGATCCCTCTACTGTAACCGTGTAGTGGCGCTGTAAAAATATCCACTACCCCACATCGTTGCGTGACTGTCATAAGAGGTGACAGAGGCAAACAGACCAGGAGATGGGAAGAAGCGTCTCCCTCATTATAACTAGAAAAAAACTGCGATTGCCTCCCGATCTGCCAAACCTGGTAAAATGGTGACAAACAAGCACACAGTCCACGGTAAGTGGAAGCTTTAGCTCATAGACATCTACACTTATCCTCATTTAAGAATTAAAATGCAGACACGTTGTCACCCCTAAGAAATGAGATGGAACGCCTCGTTTCTAGCAAAAATGGTCTCTGGTTCTCTACTCTTACTATACGAAACACAGCAGCATTATGTTGCTATTTTACGCTGGTATTCTTTGAGAGCGTGGTCCTACAAGAGACAAGCCGACCCAATCGTGCTACATACTCGTAATAAAATACCTTAATATAGCTGCAGCGTGGCTCTACCACGTAAAGTAATCCATCTTTCGAGGCAATCTATGTTCCTCTAGTTAAGCAGTGGACTTGGATAGGCTGTAATGGATGAATGGATAATGGAGAACGTTTCCCTGGTTTGACGGCAAGATCGTCTCAATCCCGCATAATGCATTATTTCGAAAAAAAAAATATTTCCCTGTCGAAATTAAATTTTTTTTTTAAATATTTCATAACAGAGTGAAGTGAGTGCAGAAGGTGAAAATAACGCTAAGGGCCGCTTTTCACTATGGGATATAATATAATATGTATTACATCTCGAGATATAAATTAATATCGCTCACCATACATTCTATATGGAACCGTTTACACTGAGCTATAATATATATTACATCTCAAGCTATAAATATTTTTTCGATCGACTGAGCGATATTTTCATATTATATTTAGCCCCCTGTACCCCGCACACCGTTCCGCGCCCCCGCAGAACGGTGTACGGGGTAAAGGGGGGTAATCCAATGACCAATGACAAACGCACACTGGTTAAAAGATATATCCCACAATGTGAAAGCCAATCGTGGGATATAATTTATATTTCGGGATGTAATATACATATATTATATCCCATAGTGAAAAGCCAGCCTTAAATATTCATTTAAGGCGCTGACACATCGCGTGCTGTGGGAAAACAGGCAGTCTTAAAGGTGAACGTCCATCATACATCACGAAGTATGATTTTCTTGTCCAATTATACTAAATGTATAATTTTTTTACAAATCACAATTTCAATTGTTATATCTATAAAAAGATCACTGAGAACCGTGTTCGCACAATATAATCAAAATAAAACTAGTCCTAGAAGC